TTACAAAGACAAAGAGCGATCATTGTGTCTTCATAAAGAGGTATGCAAGTGGCGACTTTCTCATACTTCTACTCTATGTTGATGATATGTTGATTGTTGGACAAGATCGCGTAAAGATAGATGCTTTGAAGAAAGATCTAAGCAAGAGCTTCGCCATGAAAGATTTGGGACCGGCTAAACAAATCCTTGGGATGAGAATAACTCGTGATAGATCGAAGAGACTGTTGTGGCTATCCCAAGAGAGGTACATTGAGAAAGTGTTGGAACGGTTCAACATGAACAAATCAAAGCCGGTAAACACACCACTTGCTGGACATTTCAGGTTGAGTTCGAAGCAAAGTCCCACAAGTGAGAAAGAAAAGGAGGAAATGAAGAAGATTCCATACTCATCTGTAGTAGGCAGCCTCATGTATGCAATGATATGCACAAGACCAGATATCGCCTATGCAGTTGGAGTCGTTAGTCGTTTCTTGGCCAACCCTGGGAGTGAACATTGGGTAACGGTCAAATGGATACTCCGGTATTTACGTGGAACTTCCAAAAGATGTTTATGCTTTGGAAAAGGAAAACCTGTGTTAGAAGGATACACAGATGCAGACTTGGCCGGTGATATTGATTCAAGAAAATCAACATCGGGATACCTAACTACTTTTGCAGGGGGAGCTGTTTCCTGGCAATCAAAGCTGCAAAAGTGTGTTGCATTATCCACCACAGAGGCAGAGTACATCGCAGCTACTGAAGCTTGCAAGGAGATGCTGTGGATGAAGAACATGTTGCTCGAGCTGGGAATAGATCAAGAAAGGTACGTGTTGAAGTGCGACAATCAAAGTGCAATTTACTTGGCGAAGAACTCAATATTTCATTCCCGCACGAAGCACATTGATACAAGGTATCATTGGATCCGAGAAGTCCTCAAAGAAAAGAAATTGCATCTTGACAAGGTTCACACAGACGAGAACTAGTCAGACATAATGACCAAGGTTATACCGACAAAGAAGTTCGAAGATTGCTGTCAAGGTGCAGGTTTGCTACAACCCCCCAATTAAGTCGGGAGGGGGAGATTTGTTGGGATCCCTCCTTAATTGGAGAGGTTCTAGAAAATTCTAGAGCTTTCTAGAGAAGTATAGAATTTTCTAGAACGTTGTGGAGAATCCTAGAGAAGTCTAGAAGTGTCTAGAAGCTTGCGGAATAATGTGGAATCCTCTAGAATATTCTGGAGATGTGTGGAACCTTCTGGAAGCATATGGAAGAGAATGGAGAGGTGTAGAGATTCCTTGGAATTCTCTAGAATAGGAAGTCATGTGTAGATCATTCTAGAGAACTATTCTCCACAACTCATTATGGAGGTGGAGTAGTATAAATAGGAGTAGGAGCCTCCATTCCTATCCCAATCCTAATCCTAGCAATCCTAGCAAGAGAGAATCCACTTCCTAGAGTGAGAAAGCTAGAGAGTTAGAGAGCCTCTTTGAGAGAGAAGAGAGTTAGCTTGGGAAGGTCATATCCTCAAGCTTGAGTGAGCCACCATTGAGTGAGACAATTTTGTAACATTCTTGTAAATCCTACTATTCTTTTGTATAGTGGAAGAATCTCCATATTGGAGAATTTAAATCGTGTGCTCCCATTACAACCTTAATTCCTAAGTGCCTATCTTAACTTCACGAAGCGGGAAATTCCGGAGTTTTTCCCAACATCTAGTTAGAGTCCATTGTGTAGCATTAGAATTGTCCGAATAGAGTAGATCTCCTGAAATTGATGAAGTTCTGAATGAAAGATTGAATGGATTGAATTTTAGGAAAATCACTACCTTTACTACTATAATCACTATAAATAAGAAGTAACATTTTGCTAATTAAACTATCTTTATTTTAGTATAAATACGTAGTATATCATTGTCTCATTTTATTATGCTTTTAAACACAATATTATTAACTCTAAGGCCCTATTTGGTTAGAGGGTTTCTGAGGAGAGGGGAAGAAAGTGGGAGATTTGTATGTGTTTTGTTGAAGGAAATAGGGGGGAAGGAGAGAAAAATGGAAGGCTTTCAAAATCCTCCACTTCCTCCAATTCTAAACCCCCCAAATCGGGGTATTTCGGATGAAACGTGCTGATAACCACAAACTATCCATCTCCTACGTGAATGAACAAAACGTTATGATATAAAAGGTAAAAAAAAAGTTTTGAAAAATAAAAAATTTAAAAATTAAAAAATTTAAAGATTAAAAAATCTAAAAATTAAAAAATTAAAAATTTTAAAAATTAAAAAATTAAAAAATTATAAATTAACAATTTAAAAAATAAAAAAATTTAAAAAATAAAAATAAATAATTAAAAATTCCAAACTGAAAAATGAAAAATTATAAAATTAAAAAGAAAGAATGGCATACATATTACTCCCCACTTTCATTGGACAAAAATATTAGTGTTTTTAAAATTGACACAAATGTTACTCTCCCGTTTCTTCTTCCCGTCAAAAGCAGCTCGACTTCTCTCTTCCGTCCAATACATCTCCTCTCTGCGAAGCTTCTTCCATCGATCTCTCTTCCCACGCCCAAAGCAACATTTAGCAGCCGATCTTCCTTCAGCACAGGGTCTGAAGGTTCTCTTCGCCGGTCCTCCTCTCTGTTGCACCTCGTCGTCGGAAATCCTGAGGCTTCTCTCTTCGCACGGCCATGGTGCCATCTTCTTCGACGGTCCAAGCCGCCATCTTCTTCGACGGTCCAAGCCGCCATCTTCTTCGACGGTCCAAGCCGCCATCTTCTTCGACGGTCCAAGCCGCCATCTTCTTCGATGGTCGAAACCGTCATCTTCTTCGTCGATAACCAGATCTGAAATCCAGAATGATTTTCAGATCTGAGTTCCACAGGGGCGAGGATGGAAGGTAGGGCGATGCTTGAGGGTATTGGATGCGACATTGTTGGTGGGGCTCTATTGCGGCGTCGTTGGGGTGGTAAGGCGGTGCGGCGTGGTTGGGTGAGCCTGGGGTGTGTCGTTGTTGGGCAGGGTTGTGGGGTTGTTGTGGGGTTGGGGAGATGAGACGGGCCAGGGAGATGGGTGGGGGAGCTAGTGGTCGTGGTGGGGGATGAGGAGAGGTCTTGGGGGATGGGGAGATGGCTCGGGGCTGAGGAGGGGGCTGGGGCTAGGGGAGGTAGGTGGAGTTGAGGAGGGGTTGGGGGCAAGGGCGTGGGGATGGAGTGTGGTGGTGTTGGAGGTTGACACAGTGGGCGATGTTGGGTGAGACAGGTTAGGTTAGGTGTGGAGGGGTATGGGGTTACGTTGTAGTTGTTCGGCGGCTGTTCGATGGGCACATAAGGTGGTGCGACGGTGACGGTTCGGGCTAAGATTGTGGACTGGCAGTTGAGTGCGGGGATGGTGGCTGGTGTTGCTGTTCGGCGGTGGCGGCTAGGTGTGGGGATGGTGGTCGGTGTTGCTGACTGGTGGTGGCAGCATGACTATGGCCGGAATCATTTTGTCACTGGCGATGCCACCAATGACGGTCATGTCACTGTGGTGCTGTCACCGGTGGCGGTGTCACCGGTGTTGATGTCACTGTGACCGGTGAACGGGCGGTAAACATCGTCGAATAGAGTCACTATGTTGTTGTCATTGTAAAATTGTTTTAGTGATGTTACTGCAAATAATGCAAATAATGTCACTGTAGCACCGTCACTGTAGCACCGTTAATTTCAGTCACTTTTTTGGAAAAATAAATAAAGGGTCACTTTTTTGGCAATCATTCATATATTAGTAATATCAAGGACAAAACCCCAATTAAAAAGGTAAAAAATCAAATAAAATAAAATTATGTCTCATGACCATAGGAGTAATATTCACAATAGTTAGACATGTATCTATTTTTTTAAGTAAGCTATCAATTCAAATAAAAGTAAATTACAAAAATATTTTCATTAAACCTTTCCTCCTATTTCCTCCAACCAAACACAAATTTTTATCAAAATCCTTCCTTCCCCTTCCCTTCCCTTCCCTTCCCTCCTTGACTCTCCCCTTCCCTCCCTTCCTTTGAACCAAACAAGGCCTAAGAGATGTAGCCATGACGGAAACCCTAGGGCTAGGAGGTAGCGGCGCTGTAGCTTGTCCTCTACTTTTCCGTCTCAACCAGCGTTGAAGGACGGGAAGAGCGCCGCATCTAACGTTTTCTTTTGCTTTTAGGTTTTTGGAGTTTGTTTATCTCAATTAAGTTCTTCTTCTGTCAATTCTGAAAGTCACTCTATTAGTGACTTCTTCTCAAATTAATGATACAAGTGCTTCCAACTAGGGTGTTATGTTATTGTTCAATCGCTATTGATGACATTCATCAAGTTTTAGATATGTATTTCTCAAATCCCTTTATGCTTCTCAATCCATCTATGACAACACCGTTGATCCGCCTTCCTCTAGAACTACCACCCCAAGAGAAAAGAGTGGTACTAGATTTTTATCAAACTATTAGGTTTTCAGACAGTCGAAACAGATCTGTAGGTCCAATGGAACCCGATGGCTTTTTGCTTTATTATTTCTTTACGTCAATTTGTTTTTTTATAGTTTGACCTATTTCCGTACTCTGAGTTACTTTTTCGTTATTCATTTTAATTTTATTTTGGCAGAGTGTTAAATTTTTCAAATCACAACTTATATGGTGATGTTAAGTTTCAGTTTGTCCATGACATGATTAGTGACTTCTGTGATTCTTTTGTGGGTGACAGAGTCAAAGTTTGATTATTGGGCTTATTATACCTGAGACTGGTATGATCTTAAATCTATTGTAATGTTGTTTGATTATTAATTTTAATATAGACTATTTCCATTAAAAAATCACATTTTTATTCATATGTAAAAGTAACTTAGAAAAAAAATAAATTTTTTGAAGACATTTATGGAAAAATTCCATAAATTTAGTTGCCTGCTTAAGGCCTTCTTGACATGGTGAGAAATTAGCCCCATATTCCGCCAACTTTTCATGAGTGGCCAAACATAATGCTATATTGCTAATTAAACACAAAAACTAAATGCATACGAATTTCACATTACCAGTATAGAAAGGAGGGTTCGAAAGAGAAAACAGTCATATACATACTTCATTATGGATACAGAAAAGGTTGGGAATGGCATGAGAGTGTTGATGTTCCCATGGTTGGCTGTGGGACACATCACACCATTCTTTGAGTTATCCAAGAAACTGTCCGATAGAGGCTTCCGCATGATCCACTTATGTTCCACTCCCATCAACCTTAGTTTCATAAAAAACAAAATCCCCCAGAAATATTCTTCTTCAATCCGGTTAGTGGAGCTTCACTTACCAGAATTACCAGAACTCCCTCCTCACTACCACACCACCAATGGCCTCCCACACCATCTCAACTCCACCCTCCATAAAGCCCTCAAAATGGCCAAACCCACTTTCTCTGACATCATGGGAACCATGAAACCACACTTGCTGATCTATGATGTTCAGCAGCCCTGGGCAGCAGCAGTAGCCAAGTCACACAATGTCTCGGCCGTCCAATTCATCACTTCAGGTTCTGCCATGTGCTCCTATGCCTTCCACTTGTACTTCCGGGAGAATGCTGAGTTCCCTTTTCCAGAACTCTCTCTATGCAAATACGACAAAGAGAGATTCCAGAAGATGGTAGAAAAAAGTAGTAGCGGTAGCATTAACAGTAGCGATAGAGAAGATAAAATCAAGATTCTAATGAGTACCTCAAGACAAATAGAGGGGAATAAGTATTTGGATTACATGAGTGAATTAGCAGGTTGCGAGATTTTAACACTTGGCACGCTAGTTCAGGAGCATCATCAAGATGAAGGGCGTTCCGAGCCGTTGATGGAATGGTTAGGAACGAAAGAGGAGAAGTCGACAGTGTTTGTTTCCTTTGGCAGTGAGTGTATTCTGTCGGATCGCGACATGCACGAGCTAGCCACGGGATTAGAGAAAAGTAAAGTTAACTTCATATGGGTCGTTAAGTTTCCGAAAAGCGTTAACGAAACAACGACAACGACAACAACACCAGAGAATCTTCTTCACAAGGCACTGCCAAACGGTTTTCTTGAGAGGGTTGGAGATAGAGGGAGAGTGGTGGAAGGATGGGCTCCACAGCAGAGAATTTTATTGCACCCTAGCATTGGAGCATTCATGAGCCATTGTGGGTGGAACTCTACCGTGGAGAGCATTGAATGTGGCGTCCCAATTATAGCGATGCCCATGCAGTTCGATCAGCCTCTAAATGCCAAGCTGATTGTGAGTCTTGGTGTGGGCATTGAGGTTTTGAGGGATGACGCTGGAAAGTTTCGCAGCCAAGATGTGGCTCGAGTTTGTGATGAAATCGTTAACAGAAAATTGGGAGAAAGTATACATAAAAATGTGAAAGTAATGGGTGAGAATGTGAGGCTCAACAGTATGAAAGAGATGGACCAAGCTGCTAAATCCCTAGAACGTATATGCCATCCGTAGCTAGTCCCTTGGTTAATTATACTCCAATTTAAAGTTACTGGTATTTCCTTTGATTCCTCAACTAGCCAATTTTTTTAATAATATCAACACAATAACAACTTATTACAAAGACACAACTATTTTAAGCGGAAAACTTCTCCAATATGGACACAAAGTACACCAAGGAGATGCTCAAAAAATTTAATAAAAAAATTCCACCGGGAACCACCCCAAATGGCGACGGCCGGACAAAGCCTACTATAAAAGGGGTGATTTGCACTTTTCGGTTAGTTCGAGGGCTTATTTGCCCCATTTTCCCTTAATTTAATAGGGTTAGTGTATGTCTATACACAGCCATTAAATTATTTAAATTATATATTAATTAATAAATAAAAATAATTCTTATACCTAAGTTACCCTTGTAATTGCTTAATTAATATGGTATTATCTAGGTTTGGTTTAACCGAACCTAAGCGAACCAAACCGAAAATTGGTTTGGTTTGATTTGGTTTGAGTTTACCTAAGTAAACCGTTTGGTAACAATTTGCTCAAATCGAATAGTTTTGTTTGGTTTGGTTTAAAACCAAAAAACGTTAAACCAAACCGAACAACTTGTAATATATATATATATGGAAGAGATCAAATAAAAAGAGGTTCTCTCGTGCAAAGTGCAAACATTTGCACTTTTTCAGCACCGCGTTGCACTTTTGCGTGTTTCCGTTTCACTTTTTCGCAATGGGAAAAAACTTCGTTTTAATTACGAAAATGCCACCGCGTTTTTGATCAAATTTAGTTCACTTTTGGCTCATTTTGAGCCATTAGATCTCGAAATGATCGCACGAGATTAATTCTCACTTTGCATGGGAATACTTCTTTGTATTTGAACCCTCCCCTATATATATATATCAGGGCCGGCCCTGGCGGTGTGCAGGGTGTCCAACCGCACAGGGCCCAAAAAATTGGAAGGGCCCAATTTTTTTTGTAGTAGTATACTAGTACTCCCTCCGTCCCAATTTGATTTGCAAAATTTCCTATTTTGGTTGTCCCAAAATGGTTTTCCACTTTCTATTTTAGGCATGTAGATAAGAATAAAGTGACAAATTTACCCTTACTTTTACATTTTTTCCATTAACTTAAAGACGTCTCTTTTTAGGAAGATGGGCAAAAGTGTAAAAAGCAAGCATCACTTATTGTTCTGCCTTAATCCTTGTGTCAGTCAAAGTTTGCAATTCAATTCGGGACGGATGGAGTATTAGTTAGAGATGGTTTCGGTTCGGTTTTGATATAAAACCAAATGAATTACAAAAAATTGGACTAGGGCAAGGCTTTGAAGCATGTCTGGTTCGCCACTTCGCGTATTCCTTATCTACAAAGGAGGATCGTATATATAGGAACGAAGGAGTATTAAATCCTCCGTTTCCACCGGTGTGAGAATCTTACGCTTTACAAACAAAAAAGAAAAGAAGTGAGGCATGCGGGATTCGAACCCAAGTAAAAATAAAAGCATGCACACTGATTTCTAAACATCACCTACTGGACCAAATCAACTAATTGTTGAAATAAGGACGTACAAGCTTTATATTACCTATTTGTTCTACAAAATAAATAATTAAAAATACCTCTTAATAAAAATCGATTCGGTTCGGTTTGAACCGATTTTATAACTCAAAAAACCTTCATTAAACTGATTTATGTTCGAGTCCAGACTTTCGGGTCCCGTTTGAGTCGGTGCGGTTTCGGTTCGGTTTTTTTAACTTGTGTTGAAACTTTGAAAAGAAGGCTCAATTATTTTTGTTGCACAGGGCCTTCATTTCCTCAGGACCGGCCCTGATATATATATATATATATATATATATATATATATATATATATATATATATATATATATATATATATATATATAAGAGATCAAATACAAACCATGCTTAAAATACTAACCTACAAAATCAATAATATGCATCACTTTAAACTTCAATATGCAGTAAAAATAATTAAAGATGCAGGGGTGTGATCACATACAAACTAGTCCTTCCATTCAAATCATCTTTACATTATTTGTATTGCACATTGAAGTTCAACGTGTTTCATATTATTCAAGCCATAAACTAACAGTTTCATATTTACATTATTTGTATTGCATACTGAAATTCAAAAAGCGCATCTTTACATTATTTATACTGCATATTGAAGTTCAAAGTGTTGCATATTTTTGAGTTTGTAGGTTAGTAAGTTAAGCATGATTTGTATGTGATCTCACCCCTATATATATATATATATATACTTTGTATTAATCTTCACTCTTCATTTTTAAGATTTAAATAAATAATTTAGACATAAACCATACATATTTAGCATATATCATTATAACTTTTACACATTTCATACATTCATTATGACAAAGTTAGCTAATACTAGTACGACATATTTGTATTTGTTATGTTTAAAGATAAATATAGCAAATTGCATTTATATTTTTCACATGATTCATTTGAATAAAATTGTGAAAATCACAACACTTGTATCACCGACTCCTTTAGTTTTTTCTTTTGAATATTTTATGTGATATTATAAATGCTAATCAACTATAATCTTATTTCTGTGAGAAGTGAATCTTTTTTTAAATTAGTGATTGAAAAGATGTTAGAAGTTTTAATTTATAGTATTTTTTTTCTATCATTTATTTCCTTTTACATTTTGTTTAAACAATAAATAAAAGAAGATAAGATGGACTACTACTTTCATTTCCTCGTTCTAAAATATAGAACTTGATCAAATAAAATAATAAACATATGAAAATGAATCAAATCGAACTAAATTGAACCTAATACTTTTTACTTTGGTAAAACAAACTTCAAACCGAACCGAACCGAAACACAAATGGTTTTAGTTTGGTACAAATTCTCTCATCCCGAATAAACTGAAACCGAACTGAAACAGAAGAAAATCAAACCATAAACCGAATTATCCACCCCTAGTATTATCAATCATTAATATAACATTACTAAGAACATCTTCAATGCTCAATATGCATGATGCACATGTGCCATGAGAGAAATATTAGTAAACAAAAGTTGTAGACAATATAGAAAACGTGGAAGTAATGAGTGAAAATGTGAGGCTCAATTTAAAAGCATCAACACAATGGACGAAACTACTACATCACTAGTAAGGGCATTTTTTTAAGGTGACAACTCCGGTACCCATTTAAAAAATAGGGTATCACCTATCATTCACTTGATTGGTCCACATCATGATATCATTTTTAATTTAGACTAAAATAATTCAACTGCAAAATTCTCATTACTCCATGTGGACAAAAATATGGTACCTTATGGGTACCATAGAATCTACCTTTCTTTAAACCAAAAATCAGAAAATTGTACCAAAAATAACTACTTGACAGAAAATTTGGACATAATTAAAATGAATGTGTCTCGAAAGTCGGTACTCGATTTGGCAGGAGTTTTATAGGATTTTTCTGAATATTACTAAAATAAAGCTAATTTTCAAAAATGTGACCACTTTTACATTTGAACAAAAATATGACTAAGATGGTTATATATTTGCAAAAATTAAAGAGTCTGCCAAGTATCCATGTCACTGTCCAATTTTCATGTCACTGAGACCATGACCCGTGTAACTGCCGTTGCCGGCCACCACCAGTCATCACCGCCGGCCACCGTCGGTCACAGTGACACCGCCACAATGACACCGCTGCTGCCCGGAGACCGTCGCCGGTTGCAGTGACACTGACCAAAGTGACACTGGTACAACTGGTAAGTGACAAGGGTTATAGTTTTCAACCAAATCCGCTCGCCGCTGGCGCCCCACCGGCACCCCCATCTACGCGTACACAACCCTACCCCTCCTTAGCCCCACGTCCCAGCACCCCAACCCCAACACCCCTCCCATGTCCACAACCCAGCTCTGACCAGCCCCGATCTAGCCTGGACCAGACCCCAACATCCCCGATCTAGCCACCCCAACACCAACACCCCTCCTCTGTCCACAACCCATCTCTGACCAGCCCCGATTTAGCCAAGACTAGATCCCAACAGCCCCGATCTAGCCCCGACCACCCGCTCTACAAACCGCTGCACCACACCTACACTCCGTCCCCAGCTCTCACACCCTGCAACGACGATGGAGCAGCACGACGACATCTCCGCTTCCTCGAAGATCCAATCGCTGCCCTAGTCACCTATCGTTAGTCCGATAATGCCGCTGCCTTGAAGCCCTAGCCACACTGCGATTGGACCGAAGGAGTAGACGTGGAGATGTTAGGGATGGAGGCAGTATCGGCGTTGACGTCGACGGAGATGATGCAGGTGGCGACAAAGCCATGCGATTGTGAGAGCAGATTGAAGAGAAGCAGGTGCAGAAGAGACGCAGATGGAAGAGATGCAGAGACGCAAGATGAAATGGGGGCTTAGGGATTTAAATAAGGGTTTTGTCCAAACAAAAAATGGTCATATTTCTGTCTTGTGAAACACAGATTTAAACCGAAATAATTACATATTTATGACTAAAATAAAGATTGTTTACAAAAATGTTACTAGTGATTACATTAGTAACGTAATCATAGTAACTCATGTTGAATTTTTAAACTTAAGTGACCATGACACTATATATTATGTAGTAATTATTAGTCATATTTGTGTAAACTAGCGACGTACGCACTACGCGCGATTGTTGCCTAATGCATTAGTAATGAATTGTCTAGATTAAGTAAATATAGTTAAATAATTTAAGTAAAAGTTTATAATGAAGTATCATGCAAGAAGGTTAAATAGAACTATCAATTTTATTAAAACATTAAATTGGTTATAAAATTTATATTAACATAAAATGTTGTGTCTGCATTTTCAGATATCTATTAAAAGTGAATATAATCAAACATTGATTATAAAGGAATGATTGAGTAGTTCATTTACTCCAAAAAATATAGGAAAGATAAATTAGTACTGTTTTCGTCCCGAATAAATTTGCCATATTGACTTTTTTGATAAATGATGTAAACTTTGATAATTATTATATATGTATGTAATTTATAAATTTTAGTAAAAATTGATAATAATAATC